GACCACCTCCATAACTTCGTTCAGAGAATCGTTTGGCAGATTTTGAAAGCAGATTTGAAATCAGCATCGAAAAATACGTCTAGCAGTATAGGTCTCATTTCGAATGGCCACTTCGACTTGGGATCCTTCCCTTGTTAGGTCGAAGGATCTGCACAAAACGTCATAGTCCTAGAGCTGAGCAGAAGAAGACGCTTGGCGTGGAGAGCATATAGAAGTATCGAGGTAGTGGTGATGAAGTCCAAATGCACCCGACTCGCTCACTTTTTCGACGCTGCTCTCCTTCTTGCTTTGTAGTACCCTCGAATATTTTGCACTGGAAGAGCAGGATGAGGACGCTTTCAGCGTTATTCAATACGCTTTGAAAAAGGCGATGCTCGAAATTTCTTTATACACGCAAGTGCAGAGGGGAATCTGGAGTGCCGAGTTCTGTCAACGAACGAAAATCAGGAATGCCGTTGTTTACGCCATAAAATCGGAAATCATGTGGGCCGGGCACGTCATGCGATATAGAGATCGTTGGACCAGGGCGGACTCTGTCTGGATAATCGCGACGTAAAAGGAATACCAGCAAAGCAGCCAGCGTGATGATCAGACGCGAAAGCACTGAACGAAAGGGATGCTAAGCCTCATGCTTCTATAACGAGGTTGATCCACTACTGCACATTGACTTGTGACAGGAACACGTACATATATGCGGTCAATGAGACGACAGGCGATGCAGGTGCAGCTAGTCAAAGTTACCAAATCAAGTTACTTAGGGTGACCACATATATGTAGTTGTTCCTAAACTACAGGTTCGTACTATGGTTATTTCCATTGCTTTGATGTAACATGCAAGCAACTTTTTTGTTAAAACTCACTATCATGATCGATGTTCAGGAATTTCGGAGATGAAAAAAACGAATCAAAAGCAACACAGCATAAAGACATATTTCAAAAGATACAGTACCATGAATGCGCGCAGATTTCGTTGAATCAGTGTTGTTATGCTGAGTTTGTTGACGTCAATGCAATCTTTTCCCATTCATAACCTCAAAATATTTAAATCTGTATTAGTTTTGTAATATTTCTTCTGAGAAATGACTCGAAGTTGTCAGCGTTGGAGACTGCGCTTTCATCCGTCAGTTACTCCTGGCTACTAACACAGAAATGAAAGGTTCAGAAATGGTGCAAAGGGTATGAAACACAAAGAGGGAAGGTTGGTTCAACAGTACCCCATCAGGCTGTAAAAGGTCGGTCAAACTCAAACAAAGCAGTCAATCTAAAACCGTTCAGACCCCAACAAAGTATCAGAGATATTCGCCATGTACGGCTATCTCTAAACCTCGGCATAGAGCAATCGTTCTTTTCTTTGCTTGAACTTGGACGAGGTCGATAAAAGCTTTATTCCGGCTAACGTTTCGGCGTAGATCACCTTCTTCAGAGCCTGGAACGATCGAAGCAATTTATGATTACCCGATCAAATGCATCAACTACATTACAGAAACTCGAGACCTCAGAGAACATCACGCAACTGTAAGATGGGCCACTTACCGTTGATCCGACCGATCCCCGCGACCACCCAGAAACCAGGAGCGGTCCAGCAAGCTCTTCGGACTGGATATGATTCAGACTCCCTGGTGGAAGGCTAACCTTATATACGGCCTCAGCTCCCGCGTGATTGTGATACACTCTTCTTTCCGGTTCATTTTTGGTCTAGAGACCTGAATCCAGAATGCCTCGAGAGTTTTTCGTGCGGGTGTTTGCGATTCTCGTGCCAAGACCTCGGCCGTGACCTCGAAGTCGGCTCCATGATGATTTTCCACCCTGTGGGCGCCCAAGGCAGTTGACATACGAGACCTGGCCTTGCCCNCCACTTACCGTTGATCCGACCGATCCCCGCGACCACCCAGAAACCAGGAGCGGTCCAGCAAGCTCTTCGGACTGGATATGATTCAGACTCCCTGGTGGAAGGCTAACCTTATATACGGCCTCAGCTCCCGCGTGATTGTGATACACTCTTCTTTCCGGTTCATTTTTGGTCTAGAGACCTGAATCCAGAATGCCTCGAGAGTTTTTCGTGCGGGTGTTTGCGATTCTCGTGCCAAGACCTCGGCCGTGACCTCGAAGTCGGCTCCATGATGATTTTCCACCCTGTGGGCGCCCAAGGCAGTTGACATACGAGACCTGGCCTTGCCCTCTAAGTGCTCCTTGATGCGTACGCATAGCGGTCTTGATGTTGCGCCAATATACACCTCTCCACAACTGCAACATGTGATCTTGTAGACCACCCCTGCGACTGTACAGTCGCCCTCCTGGCCGGTTGGGCAGACCACACAGTTAAGGGTGGTGCATGAGCGATCATAGAGCCGATTGCGAACCAGTCGATGCTTTAGGTTGTAGGGGGGTACATCTATAATGGCAAGGTCGAAGGTCCTTCCGCTTGCAATGTTAAAGGTTTTATCAGAGATATTGTTTTGAAAAGGACAATATCTCTAATAAAACCTTTAACATTGCAAGCGGAAGGAGGAATAAAGATATAGGACCCCATAAGAATATGACGATTCGATGACCGTTTCCCCAAACAGTCCATCCACAGACCTTCCATCTACTTCTTGCCATCTCTAATGAGCCTAGAACGTGTCCCATTTGATTTGTTCTTTCGCAAATGCCCATGAATTGGCCTACCTGTCTAAAAGGAAACGTTTGAATTTTTTGAATTTGGCTGTGTTAAAACCAATGTATGAGAGATTAAATGAAGTTTATACTGCACAAACAGTATCCATTTCAATGTTCGGGCTGAAACTCTCAACGGAATCTTGTCGATAGTTCAAGAATCTCCCAGAGAGGTAAGGTGTTGTGGGCGGAGTTCAACTTGGAAACTGTTACGGAGGTATACCTCATTTGGCTTCACCTTCTAGACCACACCTATGCCGTTTCTTGATATCACATCTTCACAATAGCTTTAAATGCCCTTGTTCAAAGTTCTTGTGCGGTCGCAACCGTTCAAATTCACTCGGCACAGAGTGAAGTGTTTTGTTTTACATTTAACAACACCTCCAAAAGCTTTTACGACTAACACTGCCTCATTTAGCCTCGTGAAAGATCAAGGATTACTCAAAACCTTGTAACATCCTCTCTCGAATATACACTAGCTCTTTCGCCTCCTTCGGACACTCGAGAATGAAAAGTTTTCGGTGTTGATCGCTTCTCTTTGAGATGTGCCTCCGCATTTGATTTTTATTTGAAATTGTGATAGCGTTTGAATGCATATATGGCTTATACAATGACTTGGTGTAGCCGGCCAGCAGGATGCTTTTATCGTTCTTGGAAAAATGGATCTTGTTTGGTTTAGGCGGATATTGATATTCATCCAAGGACCATCCTAATGTGAAAGTGCCCCAGTTGCCGCTACACCACCTTAGCCTCTTGCATTTATTTGTAACTAATTTAGGTTATGGATGTAGAGACCGCTTTGTATGTGGCCAACGTTGCTTTCAACACTGTAGTAATTGCCATGGACATAGCTGTTATGCTGATCGCCATCAAAACGGGCGAAATCGGTCGACAACTTTTTTTATGGATGATTTTTTTGTGTATGGGCATGGATATTGCTGCATATTTGAATACTGTAATCCATGACGTGCCGAGTTTCGCCATGGATACGGATATTTTCAAAAGTAAGTGTAAGCTCATATTTCCTAATAACCGAGGTGTCCGCGACGGCACTGAATTTTATTCCTTGAAGAGGGGTCCGAGAACTTCTCCCCTAACACCGCGTCGCACGCGCCGCACCCGCCGCCTATCGCAGGATTGCGATGGAAGGTTGGAGCACGCGATTTGTGAGGTAGAGAGTCCTTTAATTATTTAAATTGGCTGGCCGCTCTTTTCAATTCCAATGCGGTCTTGATTGTCGTTTATATAGGAAGGGTCATTTTAATTAATCAAGTCTAATAAACATGAAAACTAAAAAGAAACAGAAGAAAAAACGATCAAATCCAATGAAAAAGCAAGCCAATCAACGAAAAATATCGCGTCCTATCGATTGGCGAGAGGCGGGTTGAGTACCGTAATTGCAGTGACATTTGCCGCATACCGCAAGGGAGAATGCCGCGATAGGGGAGAAGTTCCGTTACCCCTTGTAGAGTACCCTCTCCATGTAAACATCAGTGACAGCTTTTGAGATGAGACGATCTGCCTTTATGCTAGTCTGAAAGCAAAGATGTTGAATACAAGTATAAGTGGCATCCCTCATTCCAAGTCCAAATCACTGAAAAAGCATGGCTTATGTTCAAAATTGTGAAGTATGTGGGTCAGGAAGGCTTTTGAGGGGTTACAGCTGAATAACGACCTGATCCTTGTCGTACCCTGTGTAGATTCGCTTTTATACCTACGGGTAATACTATTTTGTATAATCTTCCAAACTGAAAACGAAGCTTGGGCCATGAGGTGATGTCGAAGAGCTCCAGAGCCAGTGTGCGCCGTTGGTAAAACCCTTTCCACCCATTGGTGGTACAAGTCGCTTGATTCGGGGGTTAGAGAAATTTCTCCACACAATGTACTGGCTCAACCTAAGGAAGAACGTGGCTCAAGTATAAGAGTGGAAGCTTAAGGGGGGTCAATGCAAAGCTAGCATAGACTGATTAATTAATCAAAGAATATGTAGAAGCATACCTTTGCCAAACCCACAGCAACATTAATATTGCTTGAATCTTTCAGCACCAGAGCAATCCTACGTTTCGGTTCTGATACTACTCTGCCAATGGTTCAGCCAACTGTTTGCGCTGTTGGTCCTCTCGGTTCTTCATTTCATTGCAGTCTTTTCTCCAGCAAAATTTCGTTCAATTTTACCTCGGCATATGTGGATAACCAACCTCTCCATTATTGTGATCGGAATTCTATTGACAGGTATTCATTCCCGGTTCCTGATGTTATACCATAACCAAGAGCGTTTAAACGTGAATTGCATTTCAGTACCTATGTTTACACCTTACTGTGGCTTCTCCTATGTGACTGGAAGTCACGTGTGGATGTACGACACAAGCAAACCGTACACACACGTATGGCGAGGTTGCAACTTCGTTTTGCAGGTGCGCGAGATTGGTTTTTCGTAAATAGATCATCTTGTGGTCTGGTTAAGTCTAATTTTTCATGTTCGGCCTGGCTGTCTTAGTTTGGTATTTTCAGGGTGTCTGCGTGATTGTAGTGGCCTGCGTCGCCACAGTCATCATTTGGAAGATTCGAACCTTTCGAACTGTAGTGACGTTGAGAAATAACACTGTTCCATCTTCTAGGGCAAATGTTGTGCTGGAAACGGTAATAGTTCTAATTATTTTCATACCTAGTGTTTTTAAAGGCGCATTATACGATAAAAATGATTTCTGAGATTTAATCGTAGGATGAATTCGAGGTCTTCTCGTGTACCATATCTGGCGCCTTTAGGTCGGTCCGATTAGCTCCTTATAAAGACACAAAGATTGTACCGTGTGTGTCATAGAGCGAGTTTCACTTGCATTGTAGAGGGTGTACCGATCACAAGGGATCCCATGTAGGATCTCCAAATATTTTATCATGAAACAGAAAAGCAGTTTTGTACTGCTCTGGCTTGATGTAATGAGCTCTGCAACAATTCCGCAAGTGCAACAGCCCAATCTCGCCCAAATACCGCTTCCATGTCATTTTCATCACGTCGGCATCTCGTACAACCTCTACTTCCATTATTTTGTATAGCCTTATTTTTTTGCGCAAAATAGGCGAATTCCCTCGCTCTATTCACTACCGACGGTCTATTCTCAGGCTATAATTCCGCTCTTCGAAANGTCGGTCCGATTAGCTCCTTATAAAGACTCAAAGATTGTACCGTGTGTATCATAGAGCGAGTTTCACTTGCATTGTAGAGGCTGTACCGATCACAAGGGATCTCATGTAGGATCTTCAAATAACTTTTCATGAAACAGAGCGACAGTGAAAAGCAGTTTTGTACTGTTTTGGCTTGATGTAATGAGCTCTGCAACAATTCCGCAAGTGCAACAGCCCAATCTCGCCCAAATACCGCTTCCATGTCATTTTCATCACGTCGGCATCTCGTACAACCTCTACTTCCATTACTTTTGCATAGCCTTATTTTTTTGCGCAGAATAGGCAAATTCCCTCGCTCTATTCACTACCGACGGTCTATTCTCAGGCTATAATTCCGCTCTTCGAAAGAGAAGGGTTCCTTGAAATCATCTGAACTGTGCCTTCAAGTGTTTCACCCGGATCTCTTTCACAGCGCCTGTACTTCTAATTCTAAGATGTTTGCATTTATTAATGCTCACATGAAATGTTCGCTAGACACTGAACGAAGTGAAACCTTTCTAAGTTGGCTTCGACTATTTTTGGCAATATTAGGATGGTGTGAAAGTGAGGGGTATCACTCTGCTCTGCAACCACTATGTTTTAATTACAACTACTACCATTCTTTATGATAAAAGCCACATAGCGTTTCATGGTGCTACTGCTTACGGAGAGTTTTTGAACAGGAGCCACTATTTAGTAGACCTGTAAATTTAATTCTAGGCATAGTTTTTGCCTAACCTATTCCAACAGTTCAATATGGGCTTGTCTGCAGGAAAAACAACTTGAAATACCAATGCTATGGAGAATGGGAGTCACCCCACGGAGTCTGCTGCTCAGAGTTGGGTCGGAAATTTCATTGTGGTGATATGAACCTTAAAGTTAAGGAATAACCTTCACGAATTTGGTGGGGAATGACCTTCACGAATAACCACCTGCAGGATTATTCGGGCGGACATGATCAGCTGAAAGATTTCGTTCTGTATTGACATCAGCCTTCCGACAGACGCTCTCCATTTTGGCTGAAACCATATCACCATACCATACCTAGCTGAAAAGGTGCCTTTTTGAGGTCGTCTCAATCCCCTCACCCGATTACCCAAAAAGATGATCTAATGCTACAAATTAATATCGCTGCGTTAAAATACATCACTGCGTTAGATTTAGCGGATGTATAAGGATTAAGCCCTCAAGTCATACATTCTGAAGAGGAAAATGAAGCCGAAGGAGATCAAGTAGTTGATGTGGTAATGAAATAAAAGCTGTGATTCACCATAACTCATGAAACGTGACGGGACACACAAATACTACAAGGAACGGGGCGGAAGGCTCCAGAGATTTTGTTTTTCTCGTCCTGAAATTCTCTACGAAAAAGGGTTGACAAGGCGACGGTACCGAAGCTGTACAAGTCGCTGATTCTGCCTCGCCCACCATAATCGTCAGTTTTTGACCAACGATTATCAATATTTCAGACGTGAATGCAAACAGCAGCTCGAGAGGTAAAATCTTCTGAAACTGAGTTAATGATGATAAGAGCATTACTAACATCGTAAACACCAGTCTTACTGCCATGCAACAGAAACCACCAGACACATGGACTACAGCGATTCTCATTCCAGTTAATAAAGCTAATTTCAAAGCGGAATAGCGCATTATGAGGCGAAGTTTTAGAATGTTCCGAAATATAATGCCGAACGTCTGCAGATATTCTGATTTTGTTTTATCCTGGAAGACAGTAGGCATAAGGGCAGTTACCTCAGTGGAACACATTTCACTTGAATGTACCGCAGCCGTGTGGTTCTGACCATTTTTTTATTTGCAGAGAGGTAATCGTGAAAAACGTGTTAATCGTGAGAAACGTCTGGCCTTGAACTTCGTATTTCTTAGCGCGTGTTTCCTATTCCAGTCTATCGTCTACAATCTTCCATTTCGGTTAGTTTCATTATTTTCTTGAAGTAAAAGTCATAAGGGAGGGAAAATAGGGTCGACAAAGTGTATTTGGACATCTCGTCATGGCAGTTGCGGTGAGAATGAGATAGAGGATCGTATCATACCTATAAAATCACTCTGCTCTCACACGGTCACTGAGCTGTCGTCAAACTGAAAATCTTCTCGCTACTAGTGATTTCAAGTGGAAGCAAGTTAGCGGGTAATGCCCACCAACAAGAGAGAGGCCCATTCGTCTGGTCTTTACATTCTTTTTCTTGAGAATGTTCCTTTGTCAGCAGTGGGCGATGGAATGTTGAAATTATGAGCGATATTTAGGGATGGAGTTACTGTCAGGCCCAGAAAGCGTAACAACATCTTGACGTCACCCTACTTCTATGTACGAAAGTTATAAAAAGCGATAGATAAGAAACAAAAAGGTCTTGAAAGGTTGGCGAGTTAAGATCGGGGCTCGAATCCGAGCTTGGGCCCGGATAGCGCAAGAGCGGTTTCGAGTCCAGTCCGAGGACGAAGGTTTGTCCCCTATTTGCCAACCTCATGAGACTTTCGCATCGCGTACTACGGGACAGCAGTTAACAAAACATCGAGCCAAAACTAAAGGATGCGAATGGCTAAAAGCCGTCGCTGACTGACAAGCAAAGGAGGTCTAGGTGAGCACACGGATGGTCGTTGCTGCAGTTTCAACGGAAAACATAGGAAGTCTATCTCAGCATAATTCATTATAATGCCCCAGGAGCCCCGTGTTCTACGTTTACCGTCAAATTCTCAAAAACTACAAATGAGCATTGAAAAATCACAGACGAGGGTACTGTGCCAAGCAGCAATGTAATAGTGCTTTCGTGGCACATGCAAATGAGATAATCCCGTGTGTAAGTAGAGCTGCATGATTTTGTGTAAGCAAGTCCTTCTGGGGGAATATAAAGCCACAAAGACGCCTAGTCTCTTTCCTTGCAATTGACAGCAGCCAACTAATCCTCTCGAAAATGCGTTTTGTGATCACAGGAAGAACCTTACGTAAGCACTATATGTATGTATATATGTTTTTGAGCAAGCAGGACCATTTCCACAGATGGTACGGACCTCTGCACAGAGGAGGGTGAAGCCCAGAAAAAGAGGGTCCTGAGACGAAAACATAAATCACTCAGTCGAGTCATGCCAGTAAGTTCTGGTTAGTGTTCAGTTCAACTTTTTCATGCTATGTTTTTTTCACAGATATCTATCCTGGTACAAGTTCGTTATCAAGTTTGCGGCTAATTTGAACCTTTCGAAGTGGGCAATCTATACATTGGAAAATGCAAAGATACGCCATGGGTTGCTACACATTTGTAGACGTCGCCGAATCGAGTCGTCTACGACACCCTCAGTGGTGACAGTTTCACAAGCACGATAATTCATTCTAACGATGTTTGAGCTAGGCATAGACACATTTTCTTATTGTAGAAAAAACAGTTGATGTGGATAAACTATAATAAAGTGATTTTGGAGAACTGAGATCTGCACGAACTCATTCATACCAGATGAAAACAACCAACATTGAGCAAGTTGTATGAAAATTGCTTTGCAGTCTGACCACCATACCAGTTTCTGTCGTTTCTGCTGCCGCCACGTTCTTGAAACGGAAGTTGAGAAACACCGTGAATATTGATGGTCAAGGATGTATCATGATAAAGAGTTTGATGAAATTTCAAGTGGAGAATCCCTTTGTAATGATTTTTTAATTAGTCGTGATTACGGGAGAGTACACGCAACACTTCAGCAATCAATATCTCGATTGAGATATCCAGATGTTGTAATTTCATTACTCACCACCAAAATATCACCGTTCTGCCCGGATCAATATATAAGCAGCCTACTTCTTGAGTATAAGAAGCGATGTTTGGGGTCCGAGGCCAGTCCTTCAGCTCACAATACCTGCTCTTCGGCCTTCTAGTTTCCAATCCTTCAATCGTCCGATCCCCGGCTCCTCAGCCACCAGTTAATAACAGAGAGTTTCAAGGTGATTGACGGAGAGGTGAGCTGAACAGTCTCCTAAAGAAAGTTACTAAGCGTTAGTCGTGCTCACGACCCATCGTCATTGGAGCCAAAAAGATTGCATTACCGACTCGACTGGCTTCATTGATGAAAGCCTGCCAGATATGTCATGATATGTCAGCACAGTAAACATTAATAGTAATTACTATAATATTATATCCAACACTCAACACAATTCGCATCATCAGGACATTATACCAATATTTTAAACAGCTTTATTTTGCTCCTGAAAGCAATCAAAATTCAGAAAATTGTTCAAAAAATATATTGCAGGCGGATTCCTCAGTTTGGCCACCATCCCAGTTTGTGACTTTTCTACTACTACCGCCACGCCTTCGCGTCTTTATATCAGTGCTGTTTATTTGATCTATAGCTGTGTAATCTCCTTCATCAAGCATAACCCGAAGTCAGAAGTTAAGAAATATCTTTGAAAGTTCTCTTTGTCGGATTTATGTCGAAGGCTCTAATAAAATTAGGTCATTGTGAAGTGGTTATTGGCATTTTAAAAACCTCTTGCATAGGTATACCAACAATGAAAACGCATCAAGTTGTTTTTTCGAGAATCCTCGTGCTCGGGACTTTCCTATATATACGAATGCGCAGTAGGAAGTCCGGCATTCCCTGCACCGTCAACGAAGGTTGGGGGTGCCGTTGCTTACGCCAAGAAATGGAGCATAGATGGACCGGACACGTGCCAGAGTGGTCCAGTTAATCGAAGGGGACAATGCTGCCACTGCCTCTCCAGATCAACTGGATCAGTCTGCCTTGTACAGGAACGAATGGAGACGTTACTGGTGTCGGCTCGAGGAAGTCGATGATCGCTGGGACGACAGGTGATAGAAGTGAAGCTTAATTACTGAACCAAGTTACCCAAGGTATTCACATGAAGTACCTGGAGTACAGTTTGTGATATGAGTTTTTTATTGCTCTGATGTAGCATGTAAATAAGTTTTCCTGCTAATACTCACCATCCTGATTCATGTTTAAAAAGACTGAGATGAGAAAAGGAAGAAATTGAAAACAACCTATCATAACACTTATCTCAGAAGATACAATTCTATCAATGCGAGCAGATTAAGCCGAAACAGTGTTGTTATCTGTGGTTTACTGACGTCAATGCAATCTTTAACTATTCATAACTGGAACACCTTTGAATCTGTATTGATGTTGCAGTGTTTCTTCTGATAAATTGCTCAAGGTTGTCAAAGTTAAAGACAACGCTCTAATCCTTCAATCAGTTCTGGAGAGACCAACACAGAGACGAAAGGCTAAGTAGGACTGCAAAAGGNAAAAGACTGAGATGAGAAAAGGAAGAAATTGAAAACAACCTATCATAACACTTATCTCAGAAGATACAGTACTATCAATGCGAGCAGATTAAGCCGAATCAGTGTTGTTATCCGTGGTTTACTGACGTCAATGCAATCTTTAACTATTCATTACTGGAACACCTTTGAATCTGTATTGATGTTGCAGTGTTTCTTCTGATAAATTGCTCAAGGTTGTCAAAGTTAAAGACAATGCTCTAATCCTTCAATCAGCTCTGGAGAGACCAACACAGAGACGAAAGGCTAAGTAGGACTGCAAAAGGTTGTATAATACAGGGAGTGAGGCTGGCTTATGAGGATTCCCACTATAAACTGTAAAAAACCCCTACAGACTTCAACGAAACAATATCTAGGGAAGAGACTGTATCAATCTTTAAATACCTCAGCACAGCAAGCAGTTAGAAGATATGGGGGACAGGTATAACGCGGATTATTTGGCGACTGTTTCCCTTGATGGCCCATTTTTCTCATACTTCCCACACGCTTGTTACCTCTAATACACCACTAGTATGCACATAACGTGTTCTGTTTGTTACCTTCTTCCCTTAATATCCGTGAATTATTGACGGATCTGCCGTCTAGAAGAAAACATTGTTAGTTTCACTGTGTTGAAACTACTTTGTGGAACATACTACATTACAGATCCTGATACTGGTGTAATTTAAGTGACAAAGGGATGCCTGGTATATCTCAAATTAATTTCAATTCGCGGTAAATGGTTTGTGCTTGCCAAAGCGCAAGTTCAAGCCCCACTCTTACAAATGCATGGCGAGCGCCATGTTTAGATTTGTATGATGACTAGAACATATCCTCAGAGGGGGAGAAATTCTTTTGAAGCACGAGCAGTATGTGGCTGGAACTCTCAACTGAGTAATCCCGCTATTTCGAGAATCTCCTAGGAACGTAAGGTGGTGTGGGCGGAGCCCCGCCTAGTAGCTGTTACGGAGGTATACCTCAATTGCTTAAGCTTTCAGACCACTCTATGCCATTTTTGATGTCATGTTTTCATAACAGCTTTAAATGTCCTAGACATGGAATATAGTGCGCTGTTTTGGATGATGTTGTCTGTGGCTAGATCCAAGGGATGCCTCCAGGAACCCTACGTTGTTCAAGAAAGAAGAAACTCTTCGTAACTTTATGAAAGATCCAGTGTGTTCCATAAGCTTCAAATATTCCCTCAGTGATTTTTCACGAGCCCTTTCGACCTCCACGTATACCTGGAATGATAAAGTTTACAGCGTTGATCTATCTCTTTTCGAGATTCGCTTCCGCATTAGATTTCTATTCAATATCGTAACATGCTTGTATGGTCTGCATAAAGACTTGTAGAAAACAGCCAATGTGGAAGCCAGGGTCTTTGACCCTCTCAGAGGAGTCTGGTACTGAATAACAAATCCCGAAGAGTTGAAAATTCCAGCTGGTCTGGCGTTTGTACTAGTGCGCCTCTTGCTGCTGCACCATCTTTTCCTCTTTGCATTGATTCGTAACTAATTCAGATTATGGATGTAGAAACCGCTTTATATATGACAAACTTCTCTTTGAACACTATAGTAGTTGTTATGGACGCAGCTATCATGTTTGTTGCTTTTCAAACGGGCGAAATACGTCGACAACTTGTTTTATGGATGATTTTTCTATGTATGAGCACGGATATTACAGTGTATTTGAATACTGTAATTCATGACGTGCCGAGTTTTGTCATGAATACGGATATTTTCAAGAGTAAGTGATAAAAACAAATTTTCCAACCATCAAGGTCACCTCGTTGACACTGAGTAATATTCCCTGTAAGGAACCTATTCTATGTGAACACTCATGACAGCACTTGCATTGAGCGAACTGCCTTTTATTAGATTGAAGGCGTAAAGTGGAATACAAGTAAAAGCCGTACCAACTACTCATTCTAAGTCTAAGTTACTGGAAAAGCATCAACTAGATCTAAAATTGTAACCCATGGGGAAACGGGTAGGTCTCAAGAGTGTATAATTAAATAATGACCTCATCCAAGTCACCGTTCCGTGGTGATTCATATTTATGACTCCACGTGATGCTCTTTAGCTTTATTTCCCAACTGATAGCGAAGGTTGGGTCTAAATGTGAAGTGATAGTGCTGCAAAGCCGAAAACGCCGTTGTTGAATAATCTTTACTCATTAATGGTACAAATTACGTCATTCAAAAGAAATAAATTTTTCACATATTTTATTTTTGTGCATTTTTGGTCGAGTCGAACTATGAAAGAATATGGTCCTGGTGCGGGAATGGTACCTTAAAGAGAGTCTATACAAAGGCTAACATAGCCTAAATGAGTCATTAGTGGGCAGCTAGGTGCACTGGATTGCGAAACTTGCAATAACATTAACATTGCTTGAACTTTTCAGCTCCAGAGCCGGCCTACGTTTCGGTTCTGATAATACTCTGCCAATGGTTCAGCCAACTGTTTGCGCTTTTGGTCCTCTCGGTTCTTCATTTCATTGCAGTCTTTTCTCCAGCAAAATTTCGTTCAATTTTACCTTGGCATATGTGGATAACTAACCTTTTCATTGTCGCAATCGGTGTTTTACTGGCAGGTAATTATTTCTTAAAGTTGTACCTTAACGGAAGGTGTTTGCGTTTACATATGAATTGCATTTCAGTACCTATGTTCACTCCGTACTGCGGCTACACCTATGTTACTGAAAATCACGTGTGGATGCACGACACAAGCAAACCGTACACATACATATGGCGAGGTTGTAACTTCGTTTTACAGGTGTGCAGGATTTGTGTTTGGCAAAGGGCCTTGTGATCTAGTGCCGAAAAAGTGGTAAACTTCTCTACATAGATATTAACTGTTATTTGACTTTTTTTGTCGCTGTCTTAATTTGAAGTTTTCAGGCATTCTGCGTGACTGTAGTGGCTTGCGTCGACGCACTCATCATTTGGAAGATTCGTACGCTTCGAACTGTTGGGACAAAAAGAAATGGAACCGTCCCATCTTCCATGGCTGCTGTTGTTCTGGAAACGGTAACAGATCACATCATTTATAGCTAGCGACGTGTTTGAAGTGTTCCATGCAACCTGCTTTCTCTCAAGCGTCCGGCGAGATACTTCAAATCCGAAGAAGCGTCCAGTTTTAGACGTCCTCTTGCGCAGCGTCATGGTATACCAAGCAATAAGTTAATGCCGAGAAATGTTTGCCTGGGAAAGAGAAGTTCTCTCGAGTCAGCTTCGACTATTTTGGTATTATTGGGGTGATATAAAAACGAGTGGTTTTTCTATCCGCTTTAACTCGTCGAGAAATTAACTTCGATTGCAATCACACTCAATAGCAAAAGCCACGTAGCGGTTTCGGAGCTAGTGCTTCTGCAGAGGTCTGAACAAGAGACACTAATTCTTTTGTGAGAAAACCTGGAAACCTAATTTCAGGCATGTTTCCGTTGCCAAATCTTGTTCTACCAGTTGAATGTGAGCTGGTCTGCATGAAAGACAACCTGAATTACCAACGCTACGAAAAGAAGGAGGCAGCACGAAGTCTGCTATTTGGAGTTGGTTCCAAGTCAGCAATGTGGTGATATGAGCCTCAAAAATACAAAATCACCTTCACGAATTGGGCGACCACTTGCTGAAGCTTTGGAAA